CGCTCTTCTCCCCTCCCAGCTTCTCCCCACTCTGCCCTGTACTACTCTCGGCCATGCACCTGGGTGCCAGCGCCCACCTGGCTAGCAGACCCTGATCTTCCTTCACCCATCTCCCCCGACCTCCGCACCCTGCTGCTGCTCTAGCCTTTGTCTGTCCATCTTCCACGCTGGGACCCTGGGCCTCCCTCACCCCACCTTGTGCACCTCCTCCCCAACACCTCCCTCCCTCCTATGTCCAAATCCTGCACCTCCACCCCCAACCCCCAGGAGCTCAGGGTAATGATGTTTGCATCTCTGGGCTGGAGCAGGAGCTACCTGTGGATCCTGCTGGAGGGGAGGGCAGGCAGAGGCAGGTTCTGCTGGAGTGTACAGAGGGGGGCTGCCCCCAGGGGCTCATGTGGGTGGGTGCCCCTGAACAGTGGGGGAGATTTGTTCCACATCAGCCTGCCCAGCCCCCAGGGTCCTGTCTGTCTTCCTGGCTGCCCGCGTGACCCTTGCACAGGGACAGACTCAGGGACTGTGGTAGCTGCTGGTTGATGCAGGCTCTGTCTGGCCTGTCCTGGCACCAGCTGGGCACTGCCAGGGCAAGGGAGAACTCTGGGCGCTCTGTGGGTAGCTGGCAGGACCATGGCACGCAGCTCTGTGGGGTCTTCGGGTGTCCATTCAGCCAACCGTCTCTGGGCTGGGGCTGGTGCCCTGTCTTGGCTGACACCACGGAACCCTCACCACTGTGTCCCTAGAAGCTCAGAGGAATTGTGAGCCCTATTCCGGCACCTGGGCCCCAAAGTGTCGGACCACTGGGAAGTGGGTGGGTGTTGGGGACTGTCAGGGCACCAGTGCCAGCGTTGTAGCTCAGTGTGGCCAGGTCCCAGGTCCTCCTCCTTGAAGCAGGCTGAACCCCTCCTCAGCTGCTTTCTCGTCAGTTAGCAGGTGTGGCCCCAGCTGTGCCCTGTGCCAGCCCACTGGCCACTGCCTCTGCCCCAGCGCACGACCTCCGCCTCCTCCTGTGTCCTCTGAGCACCTCAGCCTCTGTCTGTCCCTGTGCCCGCCCACCACCCGCTGCCCGGCCTCCCTGCCTCCCTGCGCTCTGCTCGCTTTGCAGTGTTGTGTCGTGAGCTTGGCCGCACTGTCGCCACCGCCGCTCGCAGCACACACCAAGCTGGTCCTGACGGAAGCCTCTCTTCCCCCAGGGCCTTCGTGTACCTGAGCAACCTGCTGTACCCCGTGCCCCTGGTGCACCGAGTGGCCATCGTCAGCGAGAAGGGCGAGGTGAAGGGCTTTCTGCGTGTGGCCGTGCAGGCCATCTCAGGTGTGTGAGGACCGCGGGCCTGGCTCTCTCCTTCATGGGTAGAGGCCCCAGGCGGGGAGACCTTTGCAGGCATCACAGAGGTTGGTGGGCAGCCAGCCTCACCGGGCCCCCGCCTGTACTGTCTCCTCCCCACCCCCAGCTGGCAGTTAGCTGCTGGTCTCCAAGTGGGGCCCCAGGAGAAGCCCCCATGCTCAGCTCCTGACTCTGGCCTCCCAGACTCTCCCAGAGTGACCGGGGCCCTTTGGGGCTGTGCAGGCTGAGCCCAGGGCTGTCTGAGCTCCCCTGGCTCAGCGGACCTCCCTCCCACCAGGCAGCACCGGGTGGACACAGAAGCTCTCCTAGCTCACCACTTGCCGTGTCTCAGCCCCAGAACTGGCTGCCCAAACCCCGCCCACAGTGGCCCTCAGAGCCTCCCTTGGTCCAATGCACCCCTTTTCGGACCCCACAACCCCTCCCAGCATGTCTCTGTGCTGTGAGCCCCTGGGGACCCTGCCAAGAAGGAAGCCTGGGTGGGAGCGGGGGCGGCACTGTGGAGGGACAGAGGACAGGGATGCTGGGAGCAGTTGGTGGCTCTTCCTCATCCTTCCTGACCAGCTCTGTCCCAGTTCGGTGGGGTCCCCCTGAGCAGGTTGCTTTATAGGGTGACACTTGCCTCTATTTGGACCACACCTGACATTCTCTGTCTAGTGGATATGGTGGAGGAAAAGGAACTTAAAAAAACACACCAAAAAACGAGCCTCATGGTCACAGAAGTCACTCCTGCCCCCACCCCTGCGTGGCAGAGCTCAGCTCCCTGATCTCTCGCACTGAGCCCTGAGCCTGCTGTGCACAGCCTGGGCTGGCCCCGGGCGATGGTGAGACAGGACTATAGGACAGCTGGGCTGGAGGGCTCAGGGTATTCGTACCCTCGCAGGCCCCTGAACAGAGGGGCAGACTCCCCAGTTTGCAAGGCCTCCTGGGGTGACATCTAACCAGAGTGGCTGCAGTTGGGGCTCAGGGGCCTTTAGGCAACAGGAAAAGGGTTTGGATTTTGTCCCAAGCACAGGGGAGACCACTGACTACTCTGAAGGAAGGGTGTGGGGCGCTGAGTGCCCAGGCAGGTGATCCTAGTGGCTTTGCAAGGGTGGTGGCAGGGGGACAGGTGGGGTTCCACGGTGAAACCAGGAGACCTGGTGGGTGGGCTCTGCCCTCTGGGGTGGAGGGAGGGGCCAGGAGGACTCTGGTTCTGCTATAGCATCTGAGTCTGGGGGAGGCCAGTGGGGGATCAGGACTCAGGGAGAGGGGCGGGGTCGTAAGCTTGGTTTTTACAATGTGGGGTTGTGGCCCCTATCAAGGCAGGCTGTGTTGAGGCTGTGGCCACTTCTGGGACCGCGGGCAGCACAGGCTGGTGGTTGCCATGCCCAGGGTAGTGCCTTGGGCATCCTGCAGTCGCAGTCGGCAGTGTTGGGGATGGGGTGGTTTCTGTGCCTTCCCCCTACCTGACCGCTCAGCCTGGCTCTGCCACACCACCTGGGGACAAGCAGGGCCCTGACCATCTGCTTGGTTCCTCTTCTAGCCGATGAAGAGGCTCCTGATTATGGCTCGGGCGTCCGCCAGTCAGGAACAGCCAAAATCTCCTTTGATGACCAGCATTTCGAAAAGGTACCTGGCAAGCAGCTCTTCTCCCTCAGGCTCTTTCCTGTCCCACCTCCACCGGACACCTGCCACCCTGTCCTGAACCTCAGTGCCCACCACCTCGAGCTCAGGGCAGTGTGCCTGCCCTTCTGCCCCCCAGTCCCTCTCTGAGGGGCTCACCAATGTTGGCGATGCACAGGAGGGTCAAAGGGCAAACAGATGGAGAGCACAGGGCAGAGGAGGCTGAGTGGGCACCTGGCACAGGGAACTTGGCTGGGACCCTGACAGCCAAGCAGAAAGGTTACCTGCATCTTGCCCATGGGGGGAGGGGCTGCGGGAGGGTCCTGGATGGGGCAGAACTGAGGACCTTTCGCACTCATGGAATCAGCATAGGCCATGACAGCCTGGGAAACTGAGGCCTACGGAGATAGGTACACACCCACCCTCGGGCAGGTCTGGAACAAAGATCCATGAAGTTCTCACCTGATCTGGATAGCATAGGCCGCTCTCCTGGCCTCTTGACTGGCTGTGGGGACTCCACCCAGCCCCCACTCTCTGACTCTGGTTCCCCACCCCCCATAGTTCCAGTCTGAGTCCTGCCCTGTGGTGGGGATGTCTCGTTCCGGGACCTCCCAAGAAGAGCTGCGCATTGTGGAAGGCCAGGGCCAGGGAGCAGACGCAGGGCCCTCCGCCGACGAGGTCAACAACAACACCTGCTCAGGTAGGTCACTGTGGCTGCCCGGGGCTTGGGGCTCTTGGACATGGCCCTGCCCCACTGTAGTCTGGAGGTCCCTCCACTTTTAGCCCGGCCTAGGGTGATTAGGACCAGGCCCCTCCCCGTGCCCAGTCCCTGAGGGGGGCTATGCAGGCCCCAAGCCTGACCTCAACTCCAACGCCCCTGTAACATGGGGGTCCCGTCACATGGCTGTGCCCTTGGCTCCCAGCAGCGGTGCCTCCAGAAAGCCTCCTCCTAGACAGTCCTGAGAAGCCCACCCTGGATGGGCCCCTGGATGCCGCCCTGGACCACCTGCGCCTGGGCAGCACCTTCACCTTCCGCGTGACCGTCCTGCAGGCGTCCAGCATCTCTGCGGAGTACGCTGACATCTTCTGCCAGTTCAAGTGAGCTCAGCCCCACTGGGCAGGCCAGCGGGCGGGTGGGCAGGCTCTAAGCAATGCATGGATGGTGTCCCAGTGACCCCAGCCAAGTGTCTCCTCCCGCTTTGCAGCTTCATCCATCGCCATGATGAGGCCTTCTCCACGGAGCCCCTGAAGAACACGGGGAGGGGCCCCCCACTTGGCTTCTACCACGTCCAGAATGTAGGTCCTCAGAGCCCTCCTCCCTGCCACTGGGTGGCCCTCCCAGGGTCTGGCTGTGGGTGGCCCCCCTGAAACAGCTTCACCCAGTCTCACCATGGTTCCTCCTCCCTCTTCTGGTCGCCAGCATGTGCTGGATGCGGCCAGGCAGGAGGACACAGGGCCTCTGGCACCAGGCAGACGTGTGGGCTGTTGCTGGGCACTAGGCCTTCGGTGGGTTTAAGACTGGGGGTGGGGGCAGTAAGAGTCCAGAGAGCTCCCTGAAGGGAACAAGTTTCTGGGATGGCCAGGGTCTGTGCTGAGGCTGGGGCGCCTAGCCAGGCAGCCTGTGTGGTATGGGAAGAGGTGGAGGTAGGGCTCTGGGAGGTCAGGAGAGCTCCAGGCAGGGGAGCATCCGAGCCAGGCTGTCAGGAGAGCAGGGGGCTTTCAGAGTTGGGGAGCAGGGGTAACCAGGCAGTGTGTGTGTGGGGGGGGTGCTCCGTGTGGCCATAATGAAAGCTGCCAGGTAATGAGGACTCCAGGGCCAGGCAGTGGACCACGGTTTCCCAGCTGGGAAACAAGGCAGATCTGAAGTGTGCACACTGGCTGGCTCGTTTCCTGGGCTGCCCTAAATGTTATCGCCTCCCAGGTCTGGAGGAGAGGTGCCTGAGGTCAAGGTGTGAGCAGGGTTCTGGGCCCGAGGGGAGCACCTGTCCCAGTCTGTCCTGGAGCACGTACATGCCCGTCTTCTCACTGAGGCCTCATAGGGCCTTCCCTCTGTACCTGTCTCTGTTCTGATTTCCCCCTTTGTAAGCACATGGTCATATTGGGTTAGGGCCACACTAATGCCCTCATCTAACTTGCTGGCCTCAATAAAGACCCTGCCTCTAAATACAGGTGCTGGGGTTAGGGCTGCAACTTATGAACTGAGGTTGGGATCCAGGGAGACACACTTCAACCCATAACTCTTGGTGAGTGGGCTAGGGCCCCAGAAGGGTCAGACCAGACCCCAGAGGGACCCTGGCCTTGGTCACCATTTCGAGCTCTGTGGTCTGAAAGGGTAGCCGAGCCCTCTGGCCCAGCCCCATCTGTACTGGAAAGAGAGACCAAAGCCGCCCATCTGGTGGTCTGTCCATTGGGTGGTGACGGAGGAGAGGCAGGGCTGGAAGGACCTTGGCTAGGAGCATTGTCCCTGTCATGAGCGGAACTCAGGCCCATGGGGCCTTCCATCTGGGCCTGGAGTGCTCGGTTCTCCATGGAGGCCCCATGCTCCCCTCTGATCCCCTGCCCACCTTACCACCAGATTGCCGTGGAGGTGACCAAGTCCTTCATCGAATACATCAAGAGCCAGCCCATCGTGTTCGAGGTCTTCGGCCACTACCAGCAGCACCCATTCCCGCCCCTCTGCAAGGACGTGCTCAGGTCCTGGCCCAGTTCTCATGGTCCCGTGGGGCCTCCGGCGGGTCTGGGGGCCGTGGGAGGGAGGAAGGCAGGCAGAGCTCCCTGATCCAGCTCAGGCCCCTGTAGACGCTGGCCCGCTGGGTTGCCTCACGTGGGTGCTTCTTTCTCCACAGCCCCCTGAGACCCTCACGCCGCCATTTCCCACGGGTCATGCCGCTGTCCAAGCCAGGTAGGCCGAGCTGTTTGGAGTCTGCCCCTGTGGGTGCCAGTGTGGTTGGGACCTTGCAGCTGAGCACAGTCCTCATGCTGGGTCATCGCTCCCAGGCTCGGGGTCCCCAGGCACCTACTAGGCCTCACGGGGTCCCCATGCAGTGAGGGGCTCCATTCTGGGCACAGGGTGACGGCAGAAAAAACACCTTGGGTGTCTTTGGCCCCTCATCAGGCACGGAGCAGCTGGTGGCGGTCAGGTGGTGCCTGCCCTGTGCCTCACGGGTTCCTGGAGCAGACGACAGAGGCGTGGGAGCCCAGAGAGGAAGGCATTGAGGGGCTGGGACCATCTGAGCCTGTTTGTCAGGAATTGGTCACGAGTAGAGGGCCAGTGGGACCTGAGGGGCAGGCCTTGCCTGTGCTGGGTAGAGGTGCTGGGACAGGTGCCGCAGGCTGTGGCCAAAGTGTGGTCTAGCAGGGATCCCAGGTGGGTTGTGGGCTTCTGAGCAAGTGTGGCTCCTGCTGTCTGCTGGTCCTGTGGCATCTCAAGCCACCACCCTCTCTTCGAGGGCTGGGGTGTGTAGACACGTGCTCCTCCCCTGGGCACGGAGAAGCACGTGGTCACATCTGATCTTGAGCTGGTAAGTGGCTGCTGAGGCCTGAGTGGGCACATCCTGGGACATGGGGTGGGGAGCCGCTGGTGGCTTTCCTCGGAGTGAGATGAGCTCGCTGCCTTGACGCGTCTTCCACCTCGGCACCCTCCTTGAGCAAGCCCTCAGTGCGTGGTGGGTCCGGTCTCTCATCAGCACATGCTTCTCTCCTGTCACCCCCAGTGCCCGCCACCAAGCTCAGCACGCTGACACGGTCCTGCCCTGGGCCACGCCACTGCAAATACGACCTGCTGGTTCACTTTGAGATCTGTGAGCTGGAGGCCGATGGCGAGTGCGTCCCCACACTCAGTGTGCCCACGCTGGGGGGCTGGGGTTCCCGAGGGCCATGGTGGGGGAGGAGCTGGCACATGATGGGTTCCTTGCCCCGCTGACTCTGGTCTCCGTGGACAGCCTCCCATCTCACCTGTTCTCCCTCCTTCCACTCCTGGGGCTGCGACTGTGCTTGGGCCTGCGGGGAGGGCAGATGCCTCTCACACATCTTTCTCTCTCCAGTTACATCCCTGCAGTGGTGGACCACCGTGGCGGCATGCCGTGCATGGGGACCTTCCTGCTCCACCAGGTGCCAGGCCCTCCCTGCCCCAGCCCACCTCATGCCCCCTCCTCGGCCCCACATGGCCCCCAGGCTCCCTGACCATCTCCTCTCTCCTGATGCCTGACAGGGCATTCAGAGACGGATAACCGTGACACTGCTGCACGAGACGGGCAGCCATATCCGCTGGAAGGAAGTGCGAGAGCTAGTCGTGGGTAAGTGAGGCAGGTAGAGTCTGCCTTGGGGGCTGGGGTTGGGTTTGTGGGAAGGCAATGGACCTGCCCACCCAGATGCCTGAATTCTAACCACAGCTCTGCCCCTGTTGTTGTGTGACAATGGCCAAGTCACTTAACCTCTCTGTGCCTCAGTCCCTCGCCTGAAAAGGTGAGACTAGGCCAGTGATGGTGAACCTTTTGAGCTCGGCGTGTCAGCATTTTGAAAAACCCTAAGTTAACTCTGGTGCCGTGTCACATACAGAAATTTTTTGATATTTGCACAAGGGGCATCCTGCCTGCTCCCCAGAAGGATTTAATTCACTTCCTGAGCCA